GGGGGAGAGGGAGACGGGGGGGAGAGAAACCACGCAGCAGCCACAACGTTTTCTCAGTTTTTTTTTAATGGAATGTTCCGTATCAGCTCAGTGTATGAAAATAGATCTCATGTCTAAATAAGAAAGTGGGCGGAGCCTACCAGGTGTGTGGCCATAACCGTGGGCGATGATGGCAACAGGAAGGCATGTCAGAGGGGCATCTCGTCAGTTGCCTTAGATACAGGGCGCAGCGATGCCCTGTGTGTGCGATGACAGCAGCACAGAGGCATCCGTGGGTGGGGGGGCAGTTGGTGGGGGGGTGGTTGGTTGGGTGGTGACACAGTGGCAGCAGTGGAAAGCAAACACCTCCAGCAGACAGGAAACCACATGAGGCAAAGTGAAATGGAACTCTTCCTCAACACATCCCCCAATCACGGCAACGCTGCGTCAAATCCAGCCTGAAAAAAATGTTGGTTTCTCCGACACGGTTCCCTGAGGAACTCCACCTCCACACTGTCCTGTTAGTCCCTCAGGTGACGGACACAGAGGTTCAGTCACGACCACGTGGAATCAGACCCTCTCGTGCCAAGAGTGTGTTTTAGCTTAGCTTAGCTTGTTAGCATGCTTTGATCAACAACAGATGAATGTCAACAGTAGGGGGCGTTTGTTTACAACACTTCACAGAACCTCAAACTTTTGTAGCCAACACAAATTTCCCGTAAGACAAAAAACTGTTCGGTGTAGTGGCCATGATTGGAAGTGCAGATGACGGTCCACCCAGGGGCCTCGACCCTGTGGAAGACCATGAACTTCCACAGATGACAGAAGAGATTTTACAGTGTGTGTACAGTTCGTTATTATCGTCATATTTTCATCGTCAGATCGCGTTAGCTAGCACGTCAGTCTGGAACAACATATTGCTGGTCATCGACCATTGTTTACTGGATGACAATTGTTTGTTTTTTTTTACTCTGGCACATGGTCCTGATCTGAAAGGTCAGAGGTCACCTTTCCAGGAAGCTGCCTTTGTGTCTCTTTTCACAGGGATTTCATACAGAAAACATCGTTACAGCAGCAGAATCGTTGTTAGCGCCGAGCTAACGCTAACTGGGCGTTAGAGGAGTTAAGACTTTAAGAAAAGGTAAGATCAATAAATACATCCAAATAAAAAAGAGAAACAAACAGAGGTGACTGAAGGTCACGACACTAACATGGACTGCATTTACTCTGGAGTCACGAACGTAGCACAGATACGCTAACTGTACAGCGTTTGTGTGGAGGCACGACCGCGGAGCGTACACAAGAAGTGGACGTTGGATCGATGTTGTTAATTATTAGCAGCAAAGGTCGACACTGGGCGAGAAATAAGGAGTAGGCTGCGTTATCGCACTACACACCTAGGACAGTAGGTGGCAGTATTCGCCTAGAACCATTGGTTGTGAGTTACTACTAAACTCAGACGTCAGGTTCCTACGTAGGCTAAGTGATGTTCAGGGTCACTGGTCGAACAGACCAGCGTGTACTTCAGGGTACTACCAGGGTACTACCAGGTGACTGCGTCCACTTCCTGTGTACTCGGTGTAGTACTGCACACGAGAAACACAGTTAATAAAATGGTTCTTTGGTTTCGTTGACAATAACTGTGGCG